ATATACCCCGAAGCCTCTTGACGTAGTTCAGTTTCCATCTCCTCACAACAGGGTGGTCAGCGATATGTGGTTAAACAGACGCAAAGCTTTATTAAACATGGGTGAATGCTGAAAAAAAATAAATAAATGTACTAGGACTGGAAGGAGGTAAAGCAAAGTGCAACGCCGTATCGAACGTGCCACTTGCCTTGTGCCTTTTGTTTCCAGAGCCATGCAAGCAGCTGTGATGATAGCCTTATCTGCTGACCACACTGCTGATCCAGGCAGCCTTTCCCCTCCCAGCTCACCCTGCACACTGATACAGCACGGCGTACGTGTGCAAAGAGAGGAAACCTTTCAACCCCAGATCCCAAGAAACCACCACCAGCTTCAACTCCTTTTCTGTCTGCAGGTACTGCTACCTTGCAAAACAGCGCAGAGGCTCAGGGACCGAGGGCCTCATCAATATCAGCAAATTAAACAGTGCCTGGGGATGAACCATGATCATCTGTATTAGTAAGCTGTTCAAGCATTTCATGGCCTGCGGCAATTACTGCTCCCCCAAGCCATTCCCGGGCACAGTCCAGAGTCAAGGACCTAATCTCAATTAGCCATCAGCACGGAGCCACCGTCTTTTGAAGTGGCCAGTATTTTACTAGCATAGATGCAAGCTCTTCTATGCCGGTTGGTCTCTGTGCCCTGGAATATCCCCAGGTATATTTAATTTACTAATATAGAAGTAGTAGATAACGCTTCATGGTTATTCAAATGCCTGCTATCTCTATTGACCAAGATATGTGCTTCTTGCATCGGACAACAAGCATGTTAGCTGCCCCACTGAAAGAAGAAAATAAACCCATCACAGCAAGGGACCACACTTTAATGGCGTTCAACTTTGATCACACTTCAGCAGAGACAAGTTCAGCCACAAACCTACAGGGCTGCTCTAGTGACTTCTCTGGAGAGTTGATGGTAAGCATTACAGTTATAACCTAACTCTTATCGATTGTACATGAAACCCATCACAGCAGTGCTGCCCAAGTGATCCTGGGATTTCTTTTCAAAGAGGCAAGGTCATGCTTGGATTAATAAATGTTGAAAAACACCACTTTAGGACAAGAAGAAAAAGATTTGGAGTGTGCAGTTTTAATCCTGACATTAACAAGCTCACAGGTTAAGAGCAAACTTTACTCATACAAAGGTCTTAAAATTATCCAAAGTGACACAAGCTCCCTATTGCTAACATACATCATGCTCAGAACAACGGGTTTATTTAAAAATACACTTTATTTACAAGACATTCAAACTTCATTTTGAAAAAAATTTAACTGTACATAAAACTTTAAGTAATTTTTCACTAATAGTTAACAAAACCACAGTGAGATTTTCCATTCATTGAGTCAGCAATCATGGAAATTACATTTTGGCACATTATTTAAATCACATAATGAACAGAAAAACTGGAGGAAACTTTTAAGCAACACAACTCCATAAATGTAACAACTTTATACAGTGACATCCTCATATCAAGGTATCACTGTTCAAATAAAGTATTTAACATAGAAAGTGCTTCCACTGTACAGCAGAGTACGTAGTAGAACCTATAGAAATCTTCATAGTGTTTGGATTATCTTTTCAGAAATGTCCCTTTTATCTGCTTTCCAGTTAGTGATCCAAGCTTTCCCCTAAGGTGTTAATGAGTGACTGATGAACTCTAGTGATTTCATTAGACCTTCTCAGGCTTAGGAACCAACTTTCTTTAAAAAGTTGGTTCAGGTGGAGTGCTTATAAAGAATTTCAATATATATAAATATATATATTTATATCTCAGGATGACTACTTAGACAACACTTCGACACAGATCACAGGACATAAAAGAGTCCTTGGAGTAGCCATCCATAGACCTTGGGTGGTGAACTTCACTTTGGGGAAAATTCAGATGCCAGCATATTCCCTTCAAAGTTCAGAATAAAAGGGAGCACTGAGGACAGTAAGTGTTATAATCAGGTAGAGGCGGGGGGAAAGAATAGGAAGAAATAAACAAGATCAAAAAGTGGTTTGCAATGGTAAAGTGTATCGCGTAGCAAAACCAGAAAGAGAGTGAAGTTGAATTAAATGGAGTGCAAAAATTAAACCAGTGCATAGAAGAGGTGTTTCTAAACTGTATTATAGGTACATCACCATGACCAGAAGGCTAGCAAAACCATACTGCTTTTATTGAAGAGACAAAGAATAAGAAAAACATTAAGAGGAAAAAACCACGGTTGCACTACAAATCAAAATAAGTATCGCAAAGAACACGAGGAGAAGGAAGTCAACTGAAAATTTGGCAAAACAAAGGCAATACTCCTAAAAATAGCATCAGTTATTTTTCTTTACATAGACAAGCAAAGGCAAGATCTGCATTCAGAGAGTTACAGAAGAAGGAAAAATTACCTATCAAATTGACATGTTTGGTTAAAGGATAACATATGAAAAGGTGACAAAAAAATTGAACGCATTTTAAGAAAAGGCCCACGACTGATGAAGGCCAGTAAATTGCTTTTGCATTCAATGCCATGTTAATTTATTCCATATTTCACTCTTGCTCCAAAACTATCTGCCAAGGCTAGCAAAGGTTTCGTTGTCATACAACTAGGTCACATGTATGACTGCGGTTAAAGGATAACATATGAAAAGGTGACAAAAAAATTGAACGCATTTTAAGAAAAGGCCCACGACTGATGAAGGCCAGTAAATTGCTTTTGCATTCAATGCCATGTTAATTTATTCCATATTTCACTCTTGCTCCAAAACTATCTGCCAAGGCTAGCAAAGGTTTCGTTGTCATACAACTAGGTCACATGTATGACTGGTTATGGATCAGAGGGCCACATAAGCTGGACACGCAGTTGAAAATCACCTGTGTTTTAAGCAGATTTCCTTTGCTACAGACAGTGATGGACAGATAGGGGCAACCACGGCAAGAGAAACCGAATGCCATAATGGTGCAATCAGAAGGGAGTAATTGAAGAGGACAGGGTAGCACAATCAACCTGCAATCATCAGAAATTTTACATTACTGACTTGGAGGGGGAAAATAGGAATTTAGCTAAAGAGGCCAGAAAAGAAGTTTTTTCAACAGTGCAATACACTACAAAACTGAATCTAGAACACGTGCCCATACATGAGGGCAAATACTGAAATATAGTGTATTTCAAAATGAGGTAAGCTTACTTCAAGAGAATTAGAAGAGATATGCCAAGAACTGAAGGGAAATAAGCCAATACAAAATACACACTGATTGGAATGAAGGCTTCTACAGAAGTAGAGAGGGGCCACCCAGTAGAGCCTAGTTGTGACACACTTAAAACAGAGAAGAAAAATATTTTCTTCCAGGACTCAAAGGAAAACAAGGATACCGGGTCAGAAACCTTAGTTGGATACCCTGAAAGTCCCTACACAGAAAAAACAAGGTTTACCTCTTACATAATATAGCTCTGTTGGTTTTGCTTCCTTAAGTAATAAAGCAAATTTTAAATCTGCTTGTTTTCTAGACCTGAAGATTTCTATAATCCCTGGTATTTTCCTATTTATTCACGGGCAACAATTACAGTACAATCAACCAGACAAGAAAAATGTTTAAGAATGTTACTTCATTGTATTTTCAGGTTACAACACTTCTAAAAACTTAAAAAATAGATAATCACAGTTTTAACAAACACTGGAAGGATAAAGAAAAAGATAGTCCATTTTGTCAAATGCCTCAACGTTACACATACTAGTTTTCTCCAATTCCAGAATAAACAATACTGCCATTCCGTCTTCCAACCATTTAATAAAATGTATATATAAAAAGATTACCTGATTTAAGACACAAATGCATAATTATGAAAGGGTGCTTCTTTTAGCAGCTATCTGGGAAGCAAGTGCTCCCATAGACTTTGTTGTCATTTGGGGAGCTTTCTATTCCCATTCTCAAAAAAACTATAAATATATTTGTTATTTACATCTAAACCCTGACATTTACACATCATCACAGATGAAAATAAGGACAAAAAGAACAGAAGAAAGGGCTGTCTTACTTTATGCCACACGCTTTTAAAAGACAGAGCGATTCTTAAAATGTTTCCTGATTTACATTAATTCGTGCAGTAACTGCCAAGCAAGGTCCTGCTGCTTCCACCTCTGCAGCTGCCAACAGAATCAAACAGACTGCAGGATCAAGCTTTTAATTATACTAACACACAGTTTAATTTATATAATACAAACCTACGATGGAAGGCTATAAAATATATCAATTCACCCAAGAATCTGTTCAAAAGGGGTAACTACAAATCTAGAAATGTGCTATTTAGACTGCAATCACTGCTTCAGTAAATAGCATTTTCCAAGCAGTAAAACAGCCCGCTGTGTGTTTTAATAGTCGTTGACTTAATGCAATCGTCCTTATTAATAAGGAGTTGGCTGCTTTCTAGCCAGCCTTACAAGGAGGTCCTGGTATTTTCCCAGCCCAGGCAGGAAATCAATTTTCCCTTTCTGTTAAGGTGTCACTGAGGAAAAGACATCACTATTTTATAGTGGTGTCCCCATGAATAAATGAATACCCTGCCCAGGCCACACAGACCACTGAAAGGCTGCTTTTGACAGCAAAATGCATTTGAAAGCTTCTGGATCTGGTCTGCATAGCCGGTGCAGCTAAGCACTACGCTCAGTGTGAATTAGGTAGCGGGTCTCCTCTCCAAGAAACCTGGAGAACAGACCTGACCTAAATCCAGCACTGGTGACAGGGCACGTCATCTTGTTTTCCTTGGAGCACCCTTGCATGCCTTAAAAAAAGGCAAGCAGCAAAAAGATAAAGGAACTGCTTCACTAAATACACTGTGAAATACACCTTTGGGCAGGGGGAGGAAGGGCAGGGCAGAGGGGAGGGCTTAGACCTTTACCATAAATCAGCAAGAATTAATCAAGGCTAAACAAGGAAAAATTCCCTGTAATTTTTTTTAAAGCTTCCTCTAAGTGATAACACTGCATATAAAACTTTAAAGGGACTTCCTTAATTAATACAATATCAAATTGTGTCTTAATAATAGAACTGCAGAATTTTAACTGCTCATAATAAACACATTAGCTTATTTATTCAGCATGAATAATGACAGACACTCAATGTTAAAGATACTGCAATCATCCCGCACCATGATGAATTAAGACCTGTGGCTATTATAATTTCTGTTGTCAGGAGAAAAAAAATAAAATAAAAAAGACCCGAGTTGTACAATCACAACAGTGAACAAGATAAAAGTTAACTGGCTGACTGCCTGCATTTCCATTCGCTAGAATCAGTACAGACAACGTTAGTATTTCTTTGCTTTCATGACAAGAAGTCTACTCTTTAGCATACTTATCTGTGATTAGGCTAAGACTCCAGTATTACTAGTAGAGAAGCAAGACCAGCTTCTGCTCTGTCCCTAAATACAGGAGTCAATCAAGAAAACAATGCAAGTCAAAATTCCTGAGTGCTTCCCCTCCCCCTTAAACACTCTTAATTTCCTTCACAAACCCCACTGGCCAGAAGCACAAGCGTTACTGTTAAACATGAACTGTCTATGCAAAAACGGGTTTTAAGGATCAGTAAAGCATCTCTACTGAAGTCCTTTATAAATATACAGTACTTCAGCCCAGTACAATCACAAACTGGCCACAGGGCTTTCAGGAAACAGCGCACTTCAGCAGAAAAGGCCAGAGTTTCATTCCCAGTGCCACCGGCCATTAACTGCGAGCATCAGTGCAGACAGCAATACACCCCATCCGCTCTAACACCAGAAATTCACACGTAGTTTGGCAAGGAACTGGGTTAGGCCGTATCAGAAAAATCTTAGATGAATGCAACGCCCTTTGTGGAAATATGAATCCTTATTTCAGATACAAGGGGTTTTTAGGTGTGTTTTGGTTTACAGCTAAAGCACAGAAATCTTTTTGCCACACCAACTTCAGCTACAACCACCGATGACCCCCTTTCCAGCCAGGATACATTCGTTCTATGAAAACATTACGCATAGTAGAGGGAATTGTCTAAAGTCGTGTGCTGCTCAACTGTGATTTGTCATCAGACACGCCACAATTTTTCACGGTTTTAATGCTATCCTCTGCCAGTGGGTACTCGATAGGGATTTCAATATCATTTTTACTTGAACCATTGTCTTTATGCAGTGCAGAAAGGCAACTATCGTTTTTCTCAGTAGAACCATTAGTTTTAGCCAGGGGGGGCTCCCGCTGACTGCAGCACAGCTGAGAGTCACAAGCTTTTGAGATGCAGGGTGAGCTGCACAGTAGCTGGGAGGTCTTGCGGTCAATGTACTCGGGCTGGATGGTCACAGAATGGATCCCTGCTTCGTGGAAAACCTTCCGTATTTTATAAGCAGCATCTTGGTAATCAGTAGGGGTTTGGCACTTGATATGAAGAGTAGCAATATTCTTCCCACCTGCAAGTTCCCAGACATGCACCTCATGAAGGCTGCTAACCCCTGGTACACGAGCTAGTCTGTCAGCTGGAAGACATAAGAGAAACATATTAGGGGTTTTGGTGCACTGGCTAATTACTAGCTTTCCCATTAAGAGTCCTATCCAAAAGCAGCAGTCTCTGAACTATCTTTTTAAAAGAGCTGTACTTAGTAAAATATATCTACTGTCTTCATGGCCCCCAGAAGAGGGCCACGAAAATGATCAGGGGGATGGAACACCTCTCCTATGAAGAAAGGCTGAGAGAGTTGGGGTTGTTCAGCCTAGAGAAGAGAAGGCTTCGGGGAGACCTTATTGCAGCCTATCGGTACTGAAAGGGGGCTTATTAAAAAGATGGCGGCAACCTTTTTAGCAGGGCCTGTTGCGACAGGACAAGGGGGAATGGTTTTAAACTAAGAGAGGGTAGATTCAGACTAGATATAAGGAAGAAATTTTTTATGCTGAGGGTGGTGAAACACTGGCACAAGTTGCCCAGAGAGGTGGTGGATGCCCCATCCCTGGAAACATTCCAGGTCAGGTTGGACGGGGCTCTGAGCAACCTGATCTGGTTGAAGATGTCCCTGCCCACAGCAGGGGGGTTGGACTAGATGATCTTTAGAGGTCCCTTCCAACCCAAACTTCTACGATTCTACTCCCAGCTGTCTTCAGTTCAGCCTCCAGATGACCACATGAGCAGGCCACCCTTCCTTTTGGGTTCACCCCGTCCCTTAGGCTCCCTAATGGCAATTTACCTGGCGTTCAGAGAAGCAATGTTAGAGCACCACTTCCTTGGCCAAGACCCCACATCTTCTCGTTTCTTTAGGCCTGAGCATGGTGGAATTCCAGAAATAACCAGTGCTGCCCCACAATTAAGCAGTGTGAACAGCCCCAGAGAGCTACAAAATTAACCAACCTTAATGGAAATTTCTAAGCTGTTTTGGAAGCCTTTTGGAAGAAACTGCTGCAGGGTTGGGAAATATTGTAATTCAGTGTTGTTTCTTTCGCAAACACCCCACACAAAGCATTAACAGCTCAAGACCTGGTATTTTTGATGTATTGTTGGAGTACCACATTCTCAAAATGCATGCTTTAACTAATCCAGAGAGATTTGAGTCATGTTGCTAGGACACAGGCATGTGACTATTTCTCACGGTTCTTGAGAATTTAGAGCTATTATGAGTAAATAATCCAAACATGTCATTCCAGAAATAACATACGCATTGAAATATATCATTAAAATTAATAGCATTTTAACAACAAATTTGACTTACTCAGTAGTTGCATATTAACACCTTTGGGAACCATCTGCAACAAAATAATTGAGGTCTCCTTGATAAGCGGGAATGCAGAAGACAAGATGATGAACACCATAATTACTGTCAGGCTTGGATCAATGTAGCACTGCCAATTACATGGAGCATTCCCCAGAGGAAGTAAATGGAAGATTGTAGCAGTAACTACCACGACCACAGATCCAAGTGCATCTCCCATAACATGCAAAAGAACACCTGAAACAAATGGCACAATTTCCATTAGTGGGGGCTTTTTACTGGGGGGGGCTGGGGGGGAGGAGTAAAGCTGCATTTTTCAAGTCTGTTCTACTTGACATGAAAAATGCAATATTCCATGCGCTAACTTCATAACCAAAGTTTTCAATAACAGCTTTCAGAACAAAACAACAAGGGAAATACTGACTCTGAACGACAGCTGCTTAAGTGGGATGAATTATTAAACATGTAGGGTATGCTAGCAACTGCGGTCCCACTGCAATGCCATGGCAACGTAAAATGTGTTTGCTTAAATGCCTGCAGATTATTAAGAGATCCTGGCACATTAAATCTCAATTCTCAATTAAAAATTGATGACTAAATCTATCTGTTCTACCCTGGAAGCTGAGAGCCACAGGCCACCCCCAGTAACAGTTATTCTCCTCCATCAGCTTCTGTTGAAATCTGAAAAATTACCTAAGTGAAACCTAAGCCCATTCCTATGCCTCCAAACGCCCTCAAACGCGAATTTTTGGATCAAGCTTGATTACTAGTCATATTAAACCTTGTCCCACCAACACTACTAGCCCTCAGACCCAAAAAAAAACAGAATCTGGTTTGAGAGTTAGTCACATGGACACCACGGTTTAATATGTGCCTGGACTACTCTAAGTTGAGAGGAATGCTGGGTACCACTTTTTACATCTATAGATATGTTTTTGCACAAAAAGTAAAGACACAAAACAGGCTTTTGTAATAACACATTTTTAGCTGCCCTTTCAACTACAATGACCAAAGTAGTCTTCTTGCTATAAAGTTACAATAATCTAAGAACTCCTTTTTTCTTCCTTTTTTTTTTTTTACTACTTTACATGACCTTCCCTCTTTCCATCATTGCTCAAATGTACTCCAGTTTTGTCAGTCTTTACTGTTCAGACTCGGATTTCATTCCAAGCCCTGCCTAATTCATAACATCTCTAAATATATGAAGTCAATTTCTTTGTCAGTACTTTTTATTTGCAGCCTGTGAGAGAATAAAAAGGATCATTTGCTTTTAACATCCCTATGACAAGCACTTTCAAGAGCTTCACTCCAATTTAATCACTTCCTCTGGGCTGGAGAAGCTGTAAAAGGCTCCCTCTGAAAATCATTAACAACACAGCAAAGAGTTTTGACTCTGGTGATGCTGGACACTGGATTAGACCGAGAGCCGTGCCTGTGCTGCTGTCTCTTGCCAGCTCTTTGCATGAACATTGATCTGCAGTGTGAGAAAAGAAGTTCCTCTGAATCACTTGGGTCAGATAAGAAAGTACAAACTTCCAGTGAGCGCAGCTCTTTCTGCTGGAGTCAGGCGTGTTCTGCCCCATTTGGCAGACTCCCACAGGCCTTTACTCCTCCTAACAGTGTTGCAGTGTTTCCTTTTCATTTACAAATAATCCCGATTCTGCATGGGCTATCAGCTATTGCATGAACAAGAGGGACAGGCAGGATGCAATTGCCAAGGCAACTAACTCGAGAGCACAGCTTAAAAAGAACAGGAAAATGTTCCAGAAAGTCTTCTTCTGAATTAAGAAAAAAAAGTAAGCATGTCAGAATTATGATAAATTATGAATTGAGAATATGGAATTTGGAAAATGCTTATTTTACATTATTAACATCGTTAATATGTACATCTTGGTTACGCATCACAGAATGAGGGCCTAGTCAGAAATGAACCCATTTCCCTATAGATCCCCAAAAGCTATGGTTATAAAATAGAACCGAAAATGAATTTTTAGTAAATAAAGTCAGTATGGTAAAACTACAGGTAACACATCGTTTCCAACAGCTTGTGTTGGAAAGTCTGAACTACTCTGCATATGCTCAAGAAGTAAAAGGAGTAATTTTACACTACAATAATTAACCCAGTCAGGCAGAATGTCTGCATTCCTGTTCCTACCACTTTTAAAAATCAAGGAACCAATTCCCCTGCCAATCCATTTTGTCCAGCCATGTTTTTCAGGGAGGCTCTGATTCTATAATGTATAGAATTTTTTGCCAAGTGATTACAAAGTAAGTATAGCTATGTAACTAACTTACAGCAGAAAAGAAAAAACATAGATTTTGAATCAGAATTTTAAAGACACGTATCTGTAACACTGGCTAAAGAAGCAAAGAATATTTGTAAGGACAATAAAAATTGATTTTGCAAAGATGACATGCTAAAGTTAAAGTAGCACTTAGAGAAAAAGTCTCTTTTTAAAAATCAAAGAAGACAGGTATCTTAAAATAAACAATACCAAGCTCCTTATCCTTCAGACATTTTTGAAAGTTTCCAGCATCATTATGCCTAAGCACTGTCGTTCAGGCAAGTAAGGCCTTCTCTAAAATATACTCATCGGTTTCTTATCCTCTCCTCCATCCCTGAAAGTGACAGTTTGCTTTTCCCGCTCCAATTTGCCATAATATCCAGTGACACCAACTTCTAGACATTCAACAAAGTGTTGCGGCTCTAGCATATGGTTTGATTTCCAAAGCGTCTTCCCTTACAGACACATCTGTGTAACTCTGAAAACACTTCTGAAAGACAGGTAGACAGACACACACCAAAAAAAAAAAAACCCAGGTGCCTGACTGCCATGTCAACCTCTAAGCTGAATTCATGTGATGCCAACTTACACAACTTTGGAGCAGTATCAGATGCTGATAGGTGACCATAAGAAGCCTGAAACTACCATCCTGTTTCAGCTTTCTGACAGCCCTTTCCTTGAGGGACAAACTCAATTTTTAATACACTCAAAGAGACCTGCTTTTGGCTCTGCTCAGAATAGGTATGTAAACGTGTATGCATATAAACACCTATACAGAGGGGGAAAGAGACACTTGGTTAATTTATTCCTAGAAGTAGCTATACAGTTTCACTCCAGAGACACCCGGAGACCTGCCTAATTACGTAATAGGGTTGATACTTATGCCTAACAACATAAGAAGGGTTGATACTGTCACAGACTCTCTCAGGGACAGGTTCACAGTTCAAGGACCTGGAAAAACACTGTGCTGAAGCACCAGATTCAGCACCTTTTTCCTCGTGCTGACTAGAAAACACTGTTAACCTCGGGATTCAAAGAAATTCTGTCTTCTGCCCAAAAGCATTTTGAAGTTGAAAACTGCTCAGCTACTACAGCAGTGACACTCAAAGAAGCGCTTCATAGATACCTGCTTTACCTTCCTATAAAGCCTCTAGTGACTTGAGCTTAGTGCAAGAGGCTTTGTCTCCTTTCCAAAAAGTTCAGCTGCACTCTTCTAAAGAATTAAAATCAAAATGTAAACACACTCGGAGCCAAATCAGCATGACACTATTTTGGTATTATCTATGCTATTACATACAACCAAAAGCTTTCTGCTAAAGATAACTGGGTCCATATACATAGAAGCATCCTGGGCTTTTGCTCCATTTCTTACTGATATTTGGCAAAAAAAAATCTGCAATGGAAATCAGAAAGTGTTTAAAGGTAATATAATATTAGCAGTATCCTCCCATGCTGTACCTCTGATGTTCAAGGCTTCAGACTTTCTCTCTTTTTTCTTCTCAGGCCCCTCTTCAGGGCTTTTTTGGTCATTTGGTGAGTCACCTGCATTCAAAGAAGAAACGCTGTGTTGTGTATAAGTTCTACAAACAGAAAAAACATCATCCTTCTCAAAACCAACTTATTTCAAAGATGATGAGAAAAAAAAAAAAAACCCAAACCCAAACCAAACCATTTTCCATGCAGCTCTCTGAGCAATGCCTCCCTCACCCATCCCGAGGGGACGCCCAGCAGCCAGGTGTAAAGTACAAGGTGAAAGAGGCGGTGGGTGTCTGAGCGAGCTCAGTAAAATTCCTCGGGGCTCACGGGTGGGTTTGGGGCTTCAAAAGGGCCCAGAGGATGGGTCTGGCAGCTCAGCGGCAAACCCAAAAAACCATTTTCCATGCAGCTCTCTGAGCAATGCCTCCCTCACCCATCCCGAGGGGACGCCCAGCAGCCAGGTGTAAAGTACAAGGTGAAAGAGGCGGTGGGTGTCTGAGCGACCTCAGTAAAATTCCTCGGGGCTCACGGGTGGGTTTGGGGCTTCAAAAGGGCCCAGAGGATGGGTCTGGCTGCTCAGCGGGTCCCGAGGGCAAACAAGAGGGAGACAGGGGACGAGGAGGGCCGGGGAAGGGTGCGAGGGGTGGGGAGAGGTGCGGGACATGAGGGGAAGGCTGGACGGCGAGGCGGCGAGGATGCAGCCGAAAGGCACCTGCTTCATCCGCCTCCCCCGTCAGGGCGCCGCCGGCCACGGTCTGGC